CCATGAATAATAATCAATATCAATTAATAATAAACACTCATTAAAAATTAGAAATAAAGAGAACTTTCTTCAGCTGCTTAAGGGTATTTTTATAAAAATCCTACACTGCACATCATTCTTAATAGTAAAAATCCTCTGAGAGCAGGAAGGAAAAAAAAAAGAAACCTACTAGCACTACTTCTGTCCAACAATATATTAGAGATCCCGCCAAAAGACAAAAGAGGGAATAAAAAAGAAATAAAATTAAAAGATATACGGTTTGGGAAGGATTGAAAAGAAAGAAAACTGTCAGTATCCACAGACAACATGACTAATTATCAAGAAAATCCAAAATAAAAGTTAAAAAATGAAAATTTAAAAAATTATACCATTTATAATACCATCAAAACACACCAAATATCTAGGAATAAATCTATTGAAAGATGTGTAAGACCTCTACCCAAAGACAATTTTTTAACTTTTATTTTAAACTTAGGGATATATCATGTTCACAGATTGGAGGACTCAAAATTATAAAGACAGCAATTCTTCACAAACTGATTCATAGATACAATGAAATTCCACTGGAAATCCTGCAGGACTTTTGTGGAAACTTCCAGGTTGATTCTAACATGTATATGGAAAAGCAAAGGGCCAAGAAACTCTCAAAGAACAAAGTGGAGAAAGGATCACAGTCTTGAATATATATTGTGGTACATTCATAAAACTGAATACTAGATATCAATAAAACTAGAAGGAAACAAAACCCCACAGCTACACTCAGCAACATGAAGGGATCTCCCCTAGCATCACGTTGAACAAGAGAAACTACAAAGAAAGGAAATGGTAAGTATTTCCATTTATATACAGTTCAAAACCATGGAAAATCAATCTATGATGTTAGCAAGCAGGAGAGTAGTTATCTTTGAGGAGAAAGGAAGGAGAAGTGATTAGGGGGAAGCAAAAGGTTGGCTTTTAGGAGCTGGGAATGTTCTATTGTTTAATCTGAGTGCTGGTTATACCGCATGCTCACTTCATGATAGATCATTGCACTATATGCTTACAATCTTTTGCACTTTTCTATATGTATGTTAATTAAAAAGTGAGACACAGTAAGAAATATGGTGAACATAAAGGAAACTACACAAATAACATGGAAAAGAATAGATAATAATGATTATAGGGGCACCTGGGTGGCTCAGTCGTTAAGCGTCTGCCTTCGGCTCTGGTCACGATCCCAGGGTCCTGGGATGGAGTCCCACATCCAGCTCCCTGCTCCGCGGGAAGCCCGCTTCTCCCTCTCCCTCTGCCTCTCCCCCTGGCTTGTGCTCTCTCTCTCTTGCTCACACTCTCTCTCAAATAAATAAATAAAATCTTTAAAAAAAATGATTATAGAGGGATGCGTCAGTGGCTCAGTCAGTTAAGCATCTGACTCTTGATTTCAGCTCAGGTCATGATCTCAGGGTCCCTGGGATGGAGCCCCACGTCAGGCTCTGGGCTCAGAGGGGAGTCTGCTTAAGATGTTCTCTCTCCCTCTCCCCTTGCCCCTCACCCCATTCGTGCGTTCGCGCTCGCTCTCTCTCACTCATTCTCCCTCTAAAATAAATGAATCTTTAAAAAAAGAAATGATTACCAAATTAAACTGAAAAGATTTTCAAAGGTCTGATAGATGAAAACTTTCCTGAAATAAAGTCTTAACCTATACACGAAAAGACACATACTGCCCTAGGAAATTCTGATTCATATGCTGGTGAAGTCATTAGACTTCCAAGAAAAACTTCAAGGATAAAGAAAGTATCAAGCAGGCATAAGGTAGAAAAGGAATGAGGAAAATAAATTAGACTCAAGATTTCTACAAATTAGGGCGCCTGGGTGGCTCAGTCAGTTAAGCAGCTGCCTTTGGCTAAGGTCATGATCCCAGGGTCCTGGGATCGAATCCCGCATCGGGCTCCCTGCTCAGCGGGGAGCCTGCTTCTCCCTCTGCCGGCCGCTACCCCTGCTTGTGCTCTCTCTCTGACAAATAAAATATTTAAAAAAAAAAAAAAGATTTCTACAAATTAAATGCCAGCAGAGAATGGAGCAAAACTCTAAATAACTGTGGTTACTGAACAGGTCATAAATTTATTAGTCACAATAATCGTGCACCTAACGACCCAGAACAGTGAAGAGGAGAGTGGGAGGAAGTGTCCCTGTGCTAATGACCTTGTCATCACAGCACGAACCAAGGACAACACAGGACTGATGCTTAAGTGCAGTTTAGAGAATATGATGACTCCAACCTCCTTCACTTTCACCTCAATTTCTTTTTCTTCTGCTCAAGTAAATTAAAGCATTTAGATTAATAACAGCATTTAGAGCACAATGTCATTCCCGCCCCCCAAGCTTATCTTTATTTGTATGTCTGGAATAATAGTTACCAACTACTAACTTAATGACGATATTTCTAGGCAGAATTTGTTTGTTTGGAATCTATTTTATGTACTTTTTTTTCCACATTGTTTCAACTTTTTATGAAAAAAAATTATTACTCCAAAAATGAGTGAATGAACTAATCATCTATGAAAGACAAAGGGATTTTTTTTTAATTTTTTTCTTGCCGAATTGTCGAAACTAATTAAACCTATCCACTGCACAATATTCACAGAAATGTGCATGATTTGTTTTTTCAAGCATATACCTAATTATTACAAAATTATTAAAATAAAATAACACTGCTATAGACTGTCTCTCCCCAAAATTTATATTTTGAAAGCTAATCCCCAAAGCTGAAACTAATATAACACCATATGTTAACTACACAGAGAATTAAAATAAAATTAAAATTGGGGCACCTGGGTGGCTCAGTTGGTTAAGCATCTATCTGCCTTCGGCTCAGGTCATGGTCCCAGGGTCCTGGGATCGAACCCCGCATTGGGCTCCCTGCTCAGTTAGGAGCCTGATTCTCCCTCTCCCTCTGCCTGCCACTCCCCCTGCTTGTGCTCTCTCTCTATCAAATAAATAAAATCTTTAAAATTAAATTAAAATTAAAATAAAGAAAGCTAACCCTTGGGGCACCTGGGTGGCTCAGTCGGTTAATCATCTGCATTCGGCTCAGGTCATGATCCCCAGGTCCTGGGATCTAGCCCCACATCGGGCTCCTTACTCAGTGAAGAGTCTGCTTCTCCCTCTCCTCACCGTTCCTGCTCTCTCTCTCCCTCTCAAATAAATAAAGTCTTAAAAGAAAGAAAAGAAAAGAAAGCTAATCCTCACTGTGATGGTATTAGGTGGGGCCTCTGAGAGGTGATTAGGTATTGAAGGTGGAGCCCTCATGAATGGGATTAGCATCCTTAACAAAAACCCAGACTCCTGGCTGGGTCAGTCTGTAGAGCATGTGACTCTTGATCTTGGGGTCATGAGTTTAAGCCCCATGTTGGGTGTGGAGCCTACTTAAAAAATAGAAAAAAAATTAAAATTAAAAAAAAGAAGCCCCAGGGCGCTGGGTGGCTCAGTCGTTAAGCGTCTGCCTTCAGCTCAGGTCATGATCCCAGGGTCCTGGGATGGAGCCCCGCACCGGGCTCCCTGCTCGGCGGGGAGCCTTGCTTCTCCCTCTCCCACCCTCCCTGCTTGTGTTCCTTCTCTCACTGTGTCTCTCTCTGTCAAATAAATAAATAAAAATCTTTAAAAAAAAAAAAAAAGAAGCCCCATAGAGCTCACTTGCCCCTTCTTCAGTCATGTGTGGCCTGAGCAAGAAGACTGCTGACTATGAACCAGGAAGTAAGCCCGCACCAGAATCTGCCAGCCTCTTGATCTTGGACTTCCCCCCTCCAGAACTATGAGAAATAAATTTCTATTGTTCATAAGCCATCCAGTGTATTGTATTTCTATTACAGCAGCCTAAACAGATTAAGACAAATGCTCATTCAGGTTCACGGATGCCACAAGATTGTAGATTACTATCAATCAGGAATAAATTTAACCGAAAGTTATATGACAAAGACTCCTCAGAATTCTCTCCAGATTTCATAAATAATATTAACAAAACTACTGTTCACTTTTCAAATTTTAAAATGGATGTATCTGAATAATCTAACGAAAAAAAATTTAAATGCACAAAGTGCTTGCTAATGGGAATTTACTTGATAATCACTCACGACACTCAGTGGTACAGCTAAATAATAGTCATACTAGCCAGCATGAAAATAAAACTTATTTGGATCCATAGTCCCTTTATAGTAAGACCGAGGGTATCTAGCTCCTCTATCTTCTTTATCACTTTCACAATCTGGAGGAAAACAAGGAAGAAATCCCTCAAAGTCAAATAGGATGTATTAGAAATATGGATAAAAGGAAAGAAACGTTTTAAAAGAAAAACAAAAAGGGGGCACCTAGGTGGCTCAGTCAGTTAAGCCTCCAACTCTTGATTTCGGCTCAGGTCATGATCTCACAATCGTGAGATCAAGCCCCACGTCAGGCTCTGTGCTCAGCAGAGTCCACTGGAGATTTTCTCTCTCTCCCTCTTCCTCTGCCCGAACCCACCCCCCAATCGCTTGCACTCTCTCTAATAAATAAAATCTTCTAAAAATTTTTTAAAAATAAAAGAAAACTAAGAAAAAATCTCAATTTTTCAGAAGCTAGAATGAGGAAGATTGCTATCAAATTTATATGTAATTTAAGCAGAAATTTTTTCAATATTTAAAAATAGACAAACTACCCAAATGTTTCCAATTTTCCAAAAAGAGAGACTTAATAACCTCAGGATTGTTCTTTAGAATTTGAACCAATATCCTATTAATATACTTGTTTTTTTTTAATTTCCGTGACAAATCATTTTTTTATTACCAGACTATTTCAGCATGTACTGATTATAATGTGTTAGTGTTGTTTTTCTTTGTTTTCATTAAAGGAAGTAAAGACCATTCTTAATACATAAGAAGTAGACAACCAGAGATGCAGAGCACAGAGGGTTGGGGTGGGTGGGGGGCAGGGAGGAGTGCATTCCAGGGAATGGAAAACAATAAAAAGGCAAAAAAGCAACTCATTACCTGCTGAGCTGTAGCATCCTGTTGGACATAAGCTACCTGCCCTGGGTCTGTAAACAGAGTCTATAGACAAAAGAAACAACAATAAAAAAAACCTATCAATAAATCTTTAGACAGCTTGCCTACACAGGAAAAATTATCCTGCTGCTAAGCATCAATTCTTGACAGACTTAATTCCCATATAGCTAGTAATAATCCTTCATTAATAAAGAAGATAAAGATAGTAATCTTACTTTTAGCTAAAGCCTTTCATTCAGACGGTTCCAAAGAGATTGTATAAGTTAACCATTTCAACTGGCTAACATACTTGACAATTTTACTCTTCAGCAAAATCTCTCTTGAGGTTGAATGCCACGGCTAATTAAAAAGGTATGTCACAAAAACATAAGACATGGCATGAACAAGGGTGCGTATGTTCACATATAACACTATGTATCACAGGAGTCGACCCGCGATTAAGTGAAAATGGATGGAGACATACAGACACACAGAAAACTATTATATACACAAGGACATCTTTCAAATACAAATGCACTCTCATTATCAAAAAAGTAGAAGGGAAATAAACTGAATTTAATGTTCCATAGATTCATTCCTGGATAAAGTCAGTAAAATCATAATTTTTAAAAGGTCTCATCATAAACACATAATAATTTGAGTCATGACATAGCAGAACTAACTAGACAAGGAAAATCTTCAAAATTATTTTAGCCAGGGCACCACAGAAAATCACCAATCCAGAAAAAATACTCTTTCCTCTAATCTGCCCAAGCCTTTAGCAAACCTAGAGGAATAAGAACTATGGTTAAGTTTTTATTCCAGAGGTACACATAAGAGAATTTCAGCCAGTTGTATGATCTCTTAGACTTGCTATTGAAAAATTATCATAAAGGGGTGCCTGGGTGGCTCAGTTGTTAAAGCATCTGCCTTCTGCTCAGGTCATGGTCCCAGGGTCCTGGGATCGAGCCCCACATCGAGCTCCCTGCTTGGCAGGAAGCCTGCTTCTCCCTCTCCCACTCCCCCTGCATGTGTTCCCTCTCTTGCTATGTCTCTATCTGTCAAACAATAAACAAAATCTTTAAAAATAAATAAATAAATAATAATAAAAAACAATAAAAATTATCATAAGTCAGAAGAGCATGTGACTCTTGATCTTGGGGTTGTGAGTTTGAGCCCTACGTTGGGTACAGATTACTAAAATAAAATAAATAAACTTAAAAAATTATCATAAGTCAGACATTTAGTAACACAATAATAAACAAAGTTGCCTACAGGACATTCTTTACATAAACTATCTGACCTTATTTTAATATAGTTAGGGGACTAAAACTAAGCAGAGGCCCTGTACCCCTGAAACAAATAATATATTATATGTTAATAAAAATTAAAAATAATTAATAAATAAATAAACTAAAGCAGAGGCATTCTAAAAGTACCATCTGACTACTTGGTGATTTCATCTTTATATAAATTTGAAAGTTATTAATTAGGGGTCCCCATTTCTTCTTGGGAGTGATTTGAGGCTCTTGATTAATATTGCATGAGGGCAAATTTTTATTACCAAGATTCCACTACAAAAGTATGGAACTTATTTTTTTTTAATATGTTTAAAAGTGCTCTGTACATTCTAAAGTGCTAACAAACAAACTAACATGTATATATTTGTGTCATGCATTTGGAAACTAACACTCCAAGTCCCTAAGAAAAAAAGAAAGTAGTCCTAATTGCACAGCTTTTACCTTTGCTTCTATTACAGTCCTATGAATCAGTCAATTATTAATAAATAGCAGTTAATAAGCCAGTAGGACTTTTTGCTTACACGTTTCACTGAAATAATTTGTATGTTTTTTCACTGATCCATCTGTGATTAAGCTATACAGAACTAAATGCATTTTTGACTTGGTTCTTGATACACAAGAAAAGTAACAAGTTGATAATCTAGTCAATGGTCACTGGGACAAGAACTCATAGGAGGCTAGTGCTCTAACATCTTATTACATTTAATTTAAATAAATAAGGCATATCTTCCTCTGCCAAGTTGGTTATAAGACCCTGAAGAGCACAAATCTTATCTGAATCGTATCTTGCATCACCAGCACCTAGCACAGTGACTGGCGGAGAATAAACATAAGTCATTGGTGAGTTAAGCAATTAACAAACAAACTAGAAACAATAACCCTTCACATGCCTGTGCGGCTTCCACAGGATGGATGTACACCAGGGTATGCTCAGGACCGTCCACTGAAGTGTAGGAGGCACCATCTGCCGTGTACACCACCTGCTGGGGCGGACGAACCTGGTCATCGGTGTAGACAATCTGAGCCACAGTTCCGGCGTCAGGAACAAAGTGCACCTGGGGCAGAAAGCAGCAAGGATGTAGCGAGTGTCCTTGTAGAACAAAACCAATCTCACAAAGATACGTGGCTGACCAAGCACAATCCACAGTTGCATTTCTAAAATATCCCCAATGCAAGGAGAATAAAAATTGATACACCCTGGTCATCTGCACTGTTAGTGACTTGGAGACAGGATCCAAGGACCTTGTCACTGATTTACTACTTAATATTAGGCAACTGATATAAATTCCTCTTCGCCTCAAATGTCCAGTGCAGACATCTCTTTGGGGGGTCCTGAGGGGGCAGTCAGCTGATCCTGGAAATGTGACTGAAGATTCCTGGTTGACAGTATTACCAAAATACAAAATACAAATTATTCTGCAATGTAAAACAATGTCAACTCAAAAGCCAATTGCCCTCAACATGTCATTAATATTCTGCTTTACAACTAATAGTGCCTTTCAGCAGACACCTTAAAACAAGGTCACTTTCTTTCCTACGTGTTTTTTTTCACGCTCCAAGGCTGTCTGATGGCATGTCGGTAACCGTATGCTGAGTCAATGAATGTTACAGAACCCTTCCTTGCCAGCAAGGTAAAGACACAGAACATTCTAATCAAGTACTTTTAAGGGGTTTTGGAAAACTATTTCAGTTGTCACCAGGGTAAATAATTTTCTACCTACCAGGAACTAAAGCAGAAACTGAATGCTATAAAATGCTTTCTGAATAGTCAGCTTCAGAGGTTTGAATTCTTAAAGGCTAGCCTGGCACACAGCCTGATACTTGATATTGAACGTATGGAAGCAGATGGCCAAAGCACACATTTGGGAGAGAAATAATTTACGTGCTGATACTGAAGTTAGGCTGGAATCTTTACTCTTAGGCTACCTTGGCTTCGGACCTAACTTTTTTTTTATTTCAGTTCTCTCCAGCAGAGAGTAGTAGATTCCAAAGACGATATGAGTGAATTTAATCCCCAGAAAGAAACCTGGAGACCAAATGCAGTCAAGCAGAAATAAAACAAACGTCCACATTATACTCAGTGATTAGTCCAACTTCTACACAAATTTGATTTGTCCATGAAGATACAGTTTGTATGTTGCAAGAATTAGACTTTTAACAATTGGCACAGTTTTAAGTGCTGCAAGATAATTTTGTGACTTTAGATTTGTTCATTAACATCAAAACTTGGTCTCCATCACAGTATTTTGCTAAATCAGAGTTCCTGGCTAGGAAAAGAAACAACTGGGAAGAGGGAGAGCAATGAGGGGTGTTGAGCTCTGCTGTTTACTATCTGGTTACCTACAAAATGGTGACCCTGTTTTTTGAATGGACTATATTTTCATTCATAAACAAAATATACCAAAATACATAGCTACATGAAAGTTGTCTTCAAAATGGTTTCTATGAAAATCAGAACAGCATTCTCAGTTATTCTGCTGGAAGCATCACTAGAACATTTTTTATAAGTATTAAGACTCAGACTTTAAAATCATACTAGAAGATTAATTTTATTTACTGTAATATTTGCTATATTACTCAAATTAAATAAATGTGTATATTTAAGTGTTTCAGTGTTAACTTCCTGATTTTGATAATAATACTAAGGTTATGTAAGTTAATGAAAAACTAAATTAAAATTGCATATTTATTACAATGCTTAAAAATTAAGTTTTACACTTTGGCCAGACATGGCTCCATATGACTGCTGACTATTCCCAAAATTCAAATCTACACCAAAAAAGCAGACATTTGCCTTGGCTAAGAATAGTCAAAAGAACATGCAGCTGGTTATGATCGCAGTCCAAAAGGCAGTGATCACCCATCACAGCAGCATCTGGATAAGTGACTAGGCTCCCAAGTGGCTGACTCAATGGGACAACTAGACCTTTACATTCTGAATTTGAAAGAAAAGAAAAGGCCATTCTATAGACGTACTTTGTACTTCATTACACACGAAGAATCAAAACCCTACACCAGGTAACATGAAAGAAACACTCCAGTTGGAGGCTTTCAGCACCAAGCACATAAAATAAAACGGGGCAGTGAAGCAAATTATGACGGCAAGTTGCGAAAATGGCAGAGAAGCCTGTGGGTGGTCGCTGAGCCCTTCTAAATCATAGTGACCCATACTGATGGAGCACTCAAAGCGCCAAAACCCCCCCTATTCCTCCCGTGCACATCTTGCAGGTCTGCTCCCCACCCCCACCCCCCCAGCTACTCACTACTACAGAGAGTCTGCTATTTCTTTAGCAGTCAGCAAACTGTACCCAACTGAAAAACCGCTACCAACACCAAGCTGGAAAGACCACTCTTCACCTGTGCAGCATTCTCTTCGTGCTCTGCAGATGTGGGCCACACGTGTGAGCTTTCATCTTTGGAATCCATCCTTCCCCCTGCTGGACAGCTCCACGTCCAGGGCACCTAGAGCCGCACGCGGCGGAGGACAGTCATCTGTCTACCACGTGCGTGTTCATGAAGGACAGAAAGACCTCTCTGCAACGTGCCTGAAAAAAAGAGAGAAAGGGAACCAAGTTCTTTAAATAGATGAATACATTTTAATAAATTACAGTTGCAACCACAAAGAGAAAAAAAAAAGCTTTGTAAAAGATAACACACCTGGACAAAAAGGTGAAAATGGAGAAATGATTTGTAATGATCATACAATGTATTGCATGCTTGCTATGTTCTAGACACTCATCAGGTAGGTGTAACCCCCACTAAAAATACTGAAGGTCTGGGGCGCCTGGCTGGCTCAGTCCGTAGAGCATGTGACTCTTGATCTCAGGGTCATTAGTTCGAGACCCATGGTGGGGGTAGAGTTTACTTAAAAAATAAATAAATGAGTGAATAAATACTGAAGGTCAACAACATGGAATAAAATAAAAAAAAAAAAAGTGCTGCAGGTATATCTCTGAGTTCTGCTGATGAGGAGAATGAGGTTCCTGGATGGTAAAGGCAGCTACGTGATGGGTTCACACCCAAGCCTGACTGCGGCACAGCCCTGCTCAGCTATCCTCTGCACACTTGCTTAGATGCTGACTTCCTATACCACTTATTCGAAATGAACAGCAGAATAAAAGTCACAAAACAAGCAGAAAATGGCAGGCAGAGGAGACTGAATTTTCTGGGCCACAATCTGGTGAATACAAATGTAGACTCTGTTTCCCATTTGTTAATGCAGGATCAATTAATGAACACATCACAAGCCTTAATAAACATCAACCTGCACTAAATCTACCCTGGAAACCTTATTCTTTTCCAAAATAGGTGTTTTAAGGAAATTAATCTTCCCTTTTGATGATGATAAAACATGGACATGTTAAGAATCATGTGAGGTTTGCTGTTTAATAGATTTGCTGTTTTGCAGCCACACGCGATATGCCTCCTCCCGCCATCCCATTAAAGCAGCGCGCATACACAGGGAAGGGAAAACTGCTCAGAACACCACTACCCAAAGGTCAGGAAGACCACTGGCCCAGATCCAGTCAGAATTTTCCCCGCTATTAATGGAAATAAGCCAAGAAGCACATTCTTAGGCTGCACAAGCTCCAAGCTCTAAACCAGAATAAGACTCAAAGAAGAAAGAAAGAAAAGACTGGAGGGGCGCCTGGGTGATGCAGGCGGTTAAGCGACCGACTCTTGGTTTCGGCTCAGGTCGTGATCTCAGGGCTGTGGGATCAAGCCCCACGGGCTTGGTGCTCTCCCCTCTCCCTCTGCCCCCCCCACCTCTAAAATAAATAAATAAAATCTTTAATAAAAAAAAGACTGGAATATTCAATGTCTGGGCCTTACTCTGGAATACAGGAACTGCCACATCATGACTGCCTGAGACTCTCCTGAGGAGCCTGTTCCTGCTTCACCTCAGCATTGTCATCCTTGCCCCCACCCAAAACCGGTGCCCCACACATACACATTCACCCTGCATACACCCAACTCTTCTCCTCTCCATCAGAGGGTGCTGGAAACAAAGCCCACGTGTACCAACAGGTGAATGTATAAACAAAGAGTTATGGGGGAACTTTCTGGATAAATGGTAATGTTTTATACCTTGTATCTAGACCAGGGTTGTGCTTACCTGGGGAATACATGTATCAAAGTCATCAACCTATTCAATTAAAATATGTGTAAATTAGGGGTGCCTGGGGGGCTCAGTCTGTTAAGCACTGGGCTCTTGATTTCAGCTTGGGCTGTGATCTCAGGGTCCTGGGATGCAGCCCCCTGTCAGGAATCCCTGCTCATCGGGGAGTGCTTGAGATTCTCTCTCTCTCCCTCTCCTTCTGCCCCTCCCCTCACTTGCATGCTCACACGCACGCGCTCTCTAAAATAAATAATCTTTTTAAAATTAATTAATTAATTATGTGTAAATTATACCCTAATGTAATTGGTTATTTTTTTAAAAGCATACCTTCCTTACATAAGAGTGCTATTTAAGCATGTATAAAAAGATATTCAGGGTGAGCTGCACAGTATGTGAATTATACGTCAACAAAGCTATTATTTTTTTTAGAGGAACAAATATATTAAGAAATCTAAGAATAAACGTCACCAAAAATATTAAGACCTACATGAAGAAAACTACAAAATTGTACATGAGGACATAAACGGCTCAATATTATGAAATCACAAAATGCTCCATATAGGAAGCAGGGGTTTTTTAAATTTTTTATTGTTATGTTAATCACCATACATTACATCATTATTTTTTGATGTAGTGTTCCATGATTCATTGTTTGTGCATAACACCCAGTGCTCCATGCAGAACATGCCCTCTTTAATACCCAGCACCAGGCTAACCCATCCTCCCATCCCCCTCCCCTCTACAACCCTCAGTTTGTTTTTCAGAGTCCATCGTCTCTCATGGTTCATCTCCCCCTCCGATTTCCCCCCCTTCATTCTTCCCCTCCTGCTACCTTCTTCTTCTTCTTTTTTTTTTTTCTTGACATATATTGCATTATTTGTTTCAGAGGTACAGATCTGTGATTCAACAGTCTTGCACAATTCACAGCGCTTACCAGAGCACATACCCTCCCCAGTGTCTATCACTCAGTCACCCCATCCCTCCCACCCCACCCCCCACTCCAGCAACCCTCAGTTTGTTTCCTGCGATTAAGAATTCCTCATATTAGTGAAGTCATATGATACATGTCTTTCTCTGATTGACTTATTTCGCTCAGCATAATACCCTCCAGTTCCACCCACGTCCTTGCAAATGGCAAGATCTCATTCCTTTTGATGGCTGCATAATATTCCATTGTATATATATACCACACCTTCTTTATCCATTCATCTGTCGATGGACATCTTGGCTCTTTCCAGTTTGGCTACTGTGGACATTGCTGCTATAAACATCAGGGTGCACATAACCCTTCGGATCCCTACATTTGTATCTTTGGGGTAAATACCCAGTAGTGCAATTGCTGGATTGTATGGCAGCTCTATTTTCAACTTTTTGAGGAACCTCCATACTGTTTTCCAGAGTGGTTGCACCAGCTTGCATTCCCACCAACAGTGTAGGAGGGTTCCCCTTTCTCCGCATCCCCGCCAACATCTGTCGTTTCCTGACTTGTTAATTTTAGCCATTCTGACTGGTGTGAGGTGGTATCTCACTGAGGTTTTGATTTGGATTTCCCTGATGCCGAGCTATGTCGAGCACTTTTTCATGTGTCTGTTGGCCATTTGGATGTCTTTGGAAAAATGTCTGTTCATGTCTTCTGCCCATTTCTTGATTGGATTATTTGTTCTTTGGGTGTTGAATTTGATAAGTTCTTTATAGATTTTGGATACTAGCCCTTTATCTGATATGTCATTTGCAAACATCTTCTCCCATTCTGTCGGTTGTCTTTTGGTTTTGTTGACTGTTTCTTTTGCTGTGCAAAAGCTCTTTATCTTGATGAAGTCCCAATAGTTCACTTTTGCCCTTGAGGAAGCAGGTTTTTTTTTTTAAATAGTTTGACAGAATAGCTACAAAAGGGTAGAAAGAATACATGTATTTCTTCAGATTTACCAAATGTTAGCATTCTATGTGTTTATTATTCTCTTTCTCTCTTTTGATATTTGAGAGTAAGTTGCACACACATGCCACTTTATTACTGAATTCTTACATACCTGTTTCCTAAAAGCAGGACTTTTTTCTCACGGTACTACTACCAAAACCAGAAAGTTACAATCAAACTCTTACCTAATTTATAGACCTTATTTATATTTTGCCAATTGTCTAATTAATATCCTTAAACAACTTTTTTTCTAGCCCTGGATCCAATCTGGCATTTTATACAATGCGTCCAGTTGTCGTGTCCCTCCATCCCCTCTGATCTGGAACAGTCTCCTGGTCTTTCTTAGTCATCCATGATGTTGACATTTTTTAAATACATAGGCCATTTATTTTTCAGACTGTTCCTCGATTTGAATTTGTCTGATATTTTTTCATGGTTAGATTCAGGATATGTATTTTTAGAAGGAATACCACAAAAGAGATGTTGTATCCTTCCTATAGAGGAATTTGAGATTGTTTTTTCAGCTTGGTTCATTGATTGCATAAATACTTAAGTGCATACTATGTCAGGCACTGGGATGGGACAAAGACCAAGGCAGGCTTATCCCACACACTTATGAAACATACACAGCTCCGAGTGCCATTCTGTATTTGTTTTCATTTCTAGAAGGTGCTTATTATTTCAAATTCAAATTCAAAAGGCATAAAAAAGTATGGACAATCTCCCTACCTGGAATTCCTTAACCACCCTTCAGAAGCAACCTATATTATCAATTTCTTGTCTACCCTTCCAGGGATATGCTAAGCATATACATGCAAAAATACAGGGGCATGTACCTGGCTCAATTGGTAGAGCACATGACTCTTGATCCCTGGGTCATGAGTTCAAACCCCACACTGGGGGCAGAACTTGCACGCATGCTTGCATGCATTTAATAAATACTCTGTCTCTCCCACCGCAAATGGCAGCACACTATTGATTCTATACAAAGTAACATCTCTTCTGAGCCATGTTTATTCTACAAAACACCATACCTTCTACACTGTTCCATATCTATATATCATTTCCTCATTCTTTATCACAGCTGCATCATTTCATTGTATAAATAGATCCTAATTTATTTAATCTCCTGTGGATAAACATTTAGGTTATTTCTAGTCTTTTACTATTACAAGCAACATTGTGATGAATAACTTGGAGGCTGTTTTACATTTGTTAGTATCTTGAATTATTTTGAAGTCTCTAAGGAAGATGGTCAGTCATTTACAGCTGCTGTCTGACTAGTAAGTCATTATTAGTTCTCAAACTCCAACAGTGGCACCCACCTCCCTGTGCCTGGTGCATGAGGGCACAGGGGACACACAGGGAGAAGTGCTCTGAACTGAAGAGAGGCAGCAGTCAGTCCAAAGCACAGTGTTTAAGAGCTTGGGCTCTGGGGGCATCTGGGTGGCTCAGACGATTAAGCGTCTGCCTTCGGCTCAGGTCATGATCCCCAGGTCCTGGGATCGAGC